TGCTCGCCGCTCGGGCCTCTATGCGCGCTTTAGGTGGTGCTCCTTCACTACCTACTTCATGTTCTCTCTCTCCCGATTATATGGTTATATTATGATGGCCTAGCATCAGTGTTGGGAAAAGACAACCAAAAAATTATCTGGATAAGATAGCCACAGATGTAGGTATACAATAAATATATGTATATATCTGTGAATATAACAGATAATTCATTCAAAATTTATCAAGATAAAGATAGAAATACTCATACATTTATCTAGATAAAAAATAGATAATTTGTTTTTAAATTATATTATAAGTAATGTAATTTATTAGTAATTAGGTAATATTTATTGATTAATAAGTCCTTAATGTCCTTCCTCAACTAAAATAATATACAGTTTTAATTTTTAATACAACTCGAATAAAAATAAAATAACAAAATAAAACTGACAATGTTTCAGTAAGCATTTCTTTTTTTAACCATTATAATATTGGAATTTGGAATCAATACTCGGCTCTCTTAAATTATTGGCTGTTTCCGTATTTAAAAATATTCTCCCTCGACGAAGACTAAAAAGAAAATTATGTAGAGATCTTTTAAATTAATAATCATTAGTCAATAACTGGATGCTGGGTGTTATTAATGGATAACTTCCCAACCTTAATACCCTGTAAGTGAGTTAGTGAGGTAACTTTTATAATTATTTTAAATTACTAAAAGCAGTAAAAGCCTATGTGTGTAGTAAATTGAAAAATATTTAAATATTTTTGTATGTTATCATCATCAGTTAGAATATTTCAAGGTTTTTTTAAAAACAAATTTGATTATGTTTAGACAATAATATTGGATTAAGGCAGGCGTGCCCAACCCGCGGCCCGCGGTCCGAATCCGGCCCGCGAAGGTGTTCCAACCGGCCCGTGACCATTTTATAAAAATTAGAAATTTATATAGGTGTAATAAAATGTATTTTATTAAGTTTTTAAGAATATAAAATATTTTACAATTTTTAATTTTTATATAAAAAAAATTCATTGGATTTTAAAATATTAATAGAAAACAAACTAACAACTATAGCGTGGAAATATTGAGAACTTTAAACATATACGATTTGAGTCATAAATTCGATAAGTGAACAAAGATAATATTATATCCGATAAAATGTACAATAGATATACCTATGACTAGTCTATATTTTATCGAAATGAACAAAAAAAAACCCATGAAGCATATACGGCCCGCAGTATAAATATAAATTTCGAATGTGGCCCGCAAGTTAAATAAAAAAACAAAAAAATAATGAAAAATTTAAAAGTGTGTGGTATAATATGTCAAGTTTAAGAGCGCCACACACTTTTAAATTTTTCATTATTTTTTTGTTTTTTTAGAAAAGGGTGTTTTTTAAAAATAATTTTTTAATTTTTTATTTTCTACTTTTTAGTTAAAAAAAATTTTTTACGGATTATTGTATTGTCATCCAAGACCAAGGTCTATACAAATTTTCAGAATTTTTCATCTTCAAAAAGTGCCTCAAATCGAGCGCGCAAGATTTGATCACAGACAGACGTGTAACCAAACTTAAGAAAAGTGTTAATAAAAAGGTTGGGCACGCCTGGATTAAGGGTTTGTTAAATAAACTGTTTTAACATAATATTATATGTATATTATTAAATATTATGTATATTGTATGTAGATCCTTTTAGTTATATTTATTACAAGACAAAATAACTATCTAAATCTTAAAAATTCGATTTATGATTATAATAATCAGTTTAATACTTTATTTTTTTTAATATTTTAAGTTTTCACATATTTTAGAATCAAAATAAACAACAACAATACATATTTATAATATTATGCTATATTATAGAAATAAAATAAGTACCTAGGCAGGGGCGGATCTAGGGGAGGGTTCAGGAGGTCAGCTGACCCACAGTTAATATTTTCTGATCAAATTGGCCTCTTTTCAGATCTTGAGTAGTTGGACACTTAAATAAACACACATATAGTATAAATTAATTTTAGATTCTGAGTGGAACGATGAATGTATTGATTTTACAATGTGTGTTTTTTTTTAAATTTTTTGTGTCTGTGTACACGATAAATAGTCGAAATAATGATTCGATTTTCAACTCCAGTATCTTGTTCGATTGGAAAGTGAATCTAGTTGGTGCATTCAAGAGGTCAAATTTTAAAATTCCCAATAGTTTTCACAAGCGCCGGGATTAAACACATAAAAATTAAGGAATAACGGAAATTTTTACTCAAAATCTGTTTTCCAAAAAATCGATTTTGGTTTTTGGTGTAACTCTAAAACAAATGAACGTAAATACATGAAATTTTCACTGGTTGCTTATATTTGCATTTTCTATACCTACACGATAAAATTTTTAAAATATTATGATTTGTTTTGAACAGTTTAGGGACATTTTCATTTTCCATTTTTTTTTTTAGTTTTTATTCTAAAAATATCAATAAAATTTTATTGGTTAGCTTAGAAAGCTTGAAAATGTATTATAAGGCTCCTAGTATATTGTTTAAAGGCAGATGAAAAATATTAAAAATAGTTAGTCACCATTTTCTTTTATAAGCATTTAGAGATCAAAAATTGACAAAATATGGAAAAATCACGAAATATAGAAAATTATTTTGAGTTAAGAATTCGTAAAAGTTTTTCTTTTTAAATCTAAGATTTGAAAATGTAATACAAGATTGCTCATAAGTTTGTCTACCTTTATCAATAAAAAAATCTCTACCGGAAAGTTAAATTAAATTTTTATGAGCGTTTGAAATTCAAATTTTTACAACATTGGATATTCACTCGATTTCTCATGTAGCGATTTTCTTATTTTGTTGTAATTCAAAAACAAATAACTGTAGATAAATGAAAATTTCACTGAATGTTCATATTAGCATTTCCTATACAATGTACAATTTTGAAAATAATTATTTTTCTTATACAATGATATTATGCATAATTATAAATTCAAATTTAATACCATCCATTACAGCGATCCCCACTTGTAAGTTGTAACCTAATGTACAGCAGGTTAGGTATACAGCAAAAATATTTTGACTCTTTTTGAGCTGTTTACGGACATTTTCAGTTTTCAATTTTTTTAGTTTTTTTTTCTATAAATATCAATAAAGTTTTATCTGTTATGCCAAAAAGTGTAAAAATTTAATATAAGGCTCCTGATATATTGTTACAATATCAGTTGAAATATATTAAAAATACATAGGCTGCACAATTTTTTTTATAAGCATTTAAAGATCGAATTTTGACAAAATTTATCAAATTTAAAATTGAATAATTATTTTGTAGTTAAAAATGTATAAAATGTTCAACTTTTATATCTAAGGATTGAAAATTTAAAACATGATTTCACCATTGTAGTTAATTCTGTTACCAAAAAATCTAAAAAAATACATAAGCACAGTTTATTTTTATAGTCATTTTAAGTTCAACTTAGGATAAAATTACATTAAAAAAAACCTAGAATAACTATTTTAGTTATTTTTTTGTGATTGTGTAATATTATTCGTGGGTACTTGAAACTTCTAAAGTACACTATTATATACCTATGGAGTATGGACTATGATAGTATCAGGGTTTGTTGTTGACGTATAACGCATTATAAGTACCTAATGGATATTGGGATATGATTAATATTTAATTTATTATAGGTAAATTTTTTTTAATACGATAGATAAGAAAATAATATGCCTTATAATTAGACTGACATACCGTCTCCGCTCAGAATCGTTTTTCTTATACAATGATATTATATCATTGAATTCAAATTTAATACTATCCATTATACAGTGACCCACTTGTAACCTACTGTACAGCGGAGCACCTTTTTTTTGTTTTATATACCTAGTACACAAGTATAGATTTCTAATTTGGTTTTAATAAGTGGCCCCTTGAAATTTCCTGATCCACAGTTTCCTAACTCTGGATCCGCCCCTGTACCTAGGTAATTAACTTAATAACAGAATAGGTGACTATAGTAAATTAAAATATTAAATGATAAATATTTGTTATTTCTACAAAACTAAAACCACGTTTTAAAACTTGGGTCACACATTTGTCATTCAGGGGATACACTTTGATTTACAGGGGACACAAAGTGTGTCAGGGCGGCGCGGTATTTTAGCCCCTGGACACTGTCACGCTTTGTTCTCTACGTAATGAACAGCGTCGGAAGCGGTCTCGCGATAACGACCTCCACAGACTCGTAGAAATAAACGGAAACATATTTTGTCCCGAGGACTGGTCGTGCCAAACGGATTAAGAGAGAAAGCAAGAGTTTTATCGTAAGAGTAATGGCACTGTTCCGAGATCAGACATTACGTCTGTTCGATTTTCATTTTTGTAATGTTCGATAACATTACAAAATATGTTATCATACCCAAGTCACCTTACGTTCCGTCCCATAATTCCATAAGTCGGTTATTATAATATCCACGAGTAAATAATATTCGCCGCTCGGCAATTAATGGCGGCTGTCGTCGTTGCGACCGAGCGGTCTGAGGCGTCGGTTGCGGCGCACCCGTCGCCGGTTCGATTCTCGGCCAATGGGCGGCATTTTTCTCCGGGGAACAAGTGCCGCCATCCCCCCGGAAACCTGGGGGTGCCCACTAGAAATTCTGCCACGACACACACAAGTGTACCAAACTTATCAAATACAACAACTCATCGTTTCAACCCCACCCAATGTTGCCGGTGGTCATCTAATAAAAGAAAGAAAAAAAAAATAGCTGTTGTTGTATTATTTTATGACATCACTGAACGTAATTAGGTATTACCCGCGATAATATTATTTTATTGACGATTGAAAGTCGTAATAAATGTAACGGGGGTCGGGGACCGGGGGACGCGGACTAAGATATATAATAATTTTATTATTATAACAATATGTCCGTCGTCCGTGGGGCTGTGTATCATTTATAATACGTTATTTTAGTTCCCCACTCAGATCCACCCACCCAGCGGCCAAATAATCTATACGCCTTCCATCACCGAAGTCGACAGTGGGACAGTTGTACCTTTCGGCGGCCTATAAGGACGGGGGAGTAGGGCGGAAGTGTCGAAACGTCGTTGGAGACCGTTCCTCTACCACCCTCCAACCATAGTATTCGATCGATTCCAGTACGTCCGCGTCGGTAATCGGCTGGTTCGTGGTTAGAACCGAGCGTGGTTTCGCAAACGCCATTGTTATACGATCGCCAGCTACGCGGCACTTGTAACAAGTAATCGCATGTTGCTGCGCCCGCCTGCTGAATCGACCGGACGCCCCCGAGTGGTCGTGTACGAGTTTCGTAAGATCGGTAATGGCGGTCACTTGTTGTCTTCGTCACGTTGTGCAATAGTACCGTTGTCATTGTCGAATTGAGCATTACTACCGCGACTGAAGAGACGCCACCGGCCGTTTGATCAGCGACCCGCGCGTGTTCGAGTCTTTCGCGCTCTTTTGTTTTGCCGTTCGCACGTGTTTGTCCGTTGCCGAATATCGTTCGCCATTGAGCCGCCCGCCCGTTCGTGTAGTCCGCTCTGGTCGAATAATAATAAATAAACAAACAGTCGTTGCCCGACAGCGTTGTACGTCGGTAGGAGTTTTTTCCCGAATATCGTTTGTCGCGCTTTTCCGTTTTGCCGTTCACACGTGTTTGTCCGTGTCCGAATATAGTTCGCATCGTTTGTCGCACGTTGGCCGTCCGCCCGTTCGTGTAGTCCGCTCTGGTCGAATAATAAACAGTCGTTGCCCGACAGCACTGTACGTCGGTAGAAGTTTTTCCACGGCGCCCGTCTTCGTTTTTTTGTACCGCGCTCGAATTGTCCGTCTGCTACGGCGAGTACGTTTGTCGCGCTTTTCCGTTTTGCCGTTCGCACGTGTTTGTCCGTTGCCGAATATCGTTCGCCATTGAGCCGCCCGCCCGTTCGTGTAGTCCGCTCTGGTCGAGTAATAACAAACAGTCGTTGTACGTCTTTAGAAGTTTTTTCACGGCGCCCGTCATCGTTTTTTTGCACCGCGCTCGAATTGTTCGTCTGCTACGGCGAGTACGTTTGTCGCGCTTTCCCGTTTTGCCGTTCGCACGTGTTTGTCCGTTGCCGGATATCGTTTGCATCGTTTGTCGCACGTTGGCCGCCATTGAGCCGCCCGCCCGTTCGTGTAGTCCGCTCTGGTCGAATATTTGTTAAACAGTCGTTGCCCGACAGCATTGTACGTCTTAAAAAGTTTTTTCACGGCGCCCGTCGTCGTTTTTTTTTGCCGAATTGTCCGTCTACTACGGTAAGTTGTCATTCTTGAATGCTTCGGATACTTGCCGATCCCAAGTAATAATGTTTATTGTTAATCGTTAATTTTTTTATTCTATTCATCAAGCTTCATTCATAATTTTGCTACCTACTTAAAATAATTGTTCAATTTGTAACGTGCTGCTCCGCGTTACTTGTAGAAATGGAAGTAATAATTGAACAAAACCTCTTTGATGATATTTATTGTAGGTTTATGTTTATGTTTATTGACTTAAGCGAGTTGTGACTATGAGTATTTAGTGACTGTTCAAATTGAGGCTGGTTGTTCGTCTGATGAACGCTTGTCCATCAGCTCTCCTCGATGGGTCTCTCCAGTCCCTTCCACAGATTCACATGACCATACATGGTCATCCTGCGGTTAGGCCTAACGTGATTCACACGCTTACAAGTCTACATATATCTATATTGTACATTTGTGGTGTTACTTAACATAACAGCACAAATATAAAATATATTATTTTTAGGATTATTCATATACGTAGTCATATATCTATCGTCGCACGCCACTCACGGTCACGCACTCGATATTACTATTATTGATATTATTACTATTAATGTGTACTCGAGGAAGCACTCAAGTATAATATTTATCCCACCAAAAACATATATGTAAAATGAGAGCCAAGTTCAATACTATAATATATGCCTTGGTTGTTGACTTCAACGACAAAAGAAGTGAGATCTAAATGGGTGCCAAGTTAGGATAATATATTGAAGCCTAAGGTGTGACTTGGCTACTTTTCATATACAAATTATTATTATAAGTACCTACTAAAACAGTAATGGAAGAGTGAAGATGATTTTCCGAAGAATAAAATAATAACTCAAAGCTTTAGAACTTGCAAATGCTATAATATATAATTCGTAGCCAAGTCACACCTTAGGCTTCAATATATTATCGTAACTTGGCACCCATTTAGATCTCACTTCTTTTGTCCTTGAAGTCAACAACCAAGGCATATATTATAGTATTGAACTTGGCTCTCATTTTACATATATGTTTTTGGTGGGATATCATTACTCTTTGTATGTAAATTATTATAACCTAACCTAACCTAGCCATGACGTATTCTTTAAATAAAGTTTATTACTATATAATATAATTCAGTTACTAATATTAATAATAATATTTATTATAAAATATTTTCCGTTGTATATACAGAGTATAAAATATTAAAATATATGTAAAATTAATATACAATTATTTTAACTCTTTTTGAGTATATTTTTAATTATCATAATTTTATTGACTGTAGTTTCTACTGTTGGGTGGATAATTCATAATTTGTAAGAATAATTATTTAATTATTTTAATTGTAATATTTAAAAAAATAATATTAATTACATACATAGATAGAAAAAAAAGTATGTTGCTGCGCGCGGGTCGACAATATCGACACATATTCGGCTAGTCGTATTTTTGGAGCGGCGATACGGGAAAGGTTATTTAAGTCAACATTACATTACATTACATTAATTTAAAGGCAATTCATTAATTAATTGAAAAATTGAACATAATAGATAAAATAATTGCAAAATTATAATAAAATCAATTGATTTAGTAAGAATAGAAAAAATGAGCTTTTGTTATTGATTTAATATGCAATCGAAGAATATTTTTGTAGTACTTGTATATATGTATTTGATTTGATTTTACCACATTCTGGTATAAACACAAATAAGCCTACATTATTATGTACCTAGCTATAATATAACTATAAAATAGAAATACGAAAGCTAAACTAAATATTATAATAACCATAATAATATTATGTCCAAATTTAGTTTCACCACACACAACTTCAATTATATTTATTGTAGCATTGAATCATATTATACTGCAATAACAGTATTAAAGACAAATTATTTTAGCTGAGAATTGAATAGTAGAAATATTATTTTTTTCCTATTATTAAAGCAAAAAAACATAATTAAATACTTATAATATATTTAAATTTAAATGATTTATCTATCTCCATTAATTAAACATGTGATATAGGTATATATTATTTATTGTTTTTTTAACCGTAACAATATCTATTAATCACAGATTATGACATATATTAATTTGTGCTGTTAATTTATAAAATATAAATTAGTTTCCAGACTTGGGTAGTATTCCGAATACTGTATTCGTAATAATTTTTAAGTATTCCGAATACTTTTTACAAGTATTCTGACTGCAGTATTCGGAATACTTTTCATCTTATATAGGTATACTCTTATATATTACCAATTATTACTTATTAACTATATTATAATTTAAATATAATTTATAACTCATATAGATAGGTGTGTATTCATAGGCGTGCGCAGCCTCCGGTTTCAGGGGCAGCAAGAGATTAATTCGGCCCATTTTTCAAATTCACCATTAAAACCAGCTCATAGTTTTACTTTTTTTACTATTGAATATCAAAATTAAAATTGTATTGGTTATTTGTTTTTTTGGATAAAAGGTTGTACAGTAAGGTACTAAGCCACTAAAGGTGTACTTTTCTACAAGCCTATATAAAATATTTATCTATAGTTTATCAAAACAAAAAAAAAATTTTGTGGAAATATAATTTTACCGAGGCCCATTATTTAATATTTGCCGGCCCCGGTGGCCCCAAAGAAAGTCCAGGGGCAGCATATGCTGCCTCTGCTGCCCCTGTGCGCACGCCTATGTGTGTATTATCGAGATTATAATAATGTTCATTTATAAACACAGAATTGAAAAAATAATTCTTTTTATATTGAAATCTAAATCTACTAAAAAAAAGTATTCAAAAAATATTTGGAATACTTTTTGTGAAGTATTCGGAATATGTATTTGAAATACTTATAAAAAGTATTTTACCAAAGTCTGTTAGTTTCTATAATTAAAGATAATTGAGCATTACAATTTTCATTAAGACTCCTACATAAATTACAAACCTTGTAAATATTGAATTTAATTTAGGTACCACAAATGAAGGAAATAAAATATAAATGCTTAGTATGTTCTTCATTGTTTGACAGCCAATTACTTTATAGTAAACACGCTTGTGAAAAACATATGATGAAGCTAACTACATTAATTTTAAATACGGTAAGTGGAAAATTTGAAGACTACAAAGTTATACATCTTTATTAATCCATTTTATTTTTAGGAAAGAGCAAAAAAATATTCTTGTCCAGATACTGCCAACATCTCAAAACTTCACATATCGACCTTCAAAAAAAATAAGAAACTGAAGTCTTCTATGTACATAGAGGATAATCAAAAGGATAACAAAAAAGGTACTGTAGATGCAGGTATGATTTTCAAGTACAATGCCCCTGAAAAATCTACAGAACATGTGGAAGAAATTAATAACTCTTCAGAAGCGAATACTGCAGCTGCTAATATATTAAGTCCGGTAAGCATAATAAAAAGTGTGCTTTTGATATTGATTTAATACGCTATCGATGAATATTTTTGTTAAAATTGTATACCTATTTGTAGTGTATTTTACTTTAATATATTCTGCTATAAACACAATTAAGCTTACATTACTATGTAGCTATAAAATAACTATAATAAAAAAAAATAGGAAAACTAAACTAAAGAGTATATTTTAATAAACAATAATATTTGTTTATACTTCATTTCACTACACAATTTACATTACATTATATCTTGTAAAATTGATTTATATGTTACTGCAGTGACAGTATCAAAGACAAGTTATATTAGCTGCAAATGAAATGGTAGCAATATTATTTTTTATTTTTATTAAATCAAATAACGTAGTTAATTACATATAACATATTTAAATTTAAACAATTTAAATATCTCCTTTAAGCAAGCTTGTGATGGATGTATAGATTATTTATTATTTTCTAACTGTATAAATATCTATTAATCACAGATTAAGACATATAAATATATCAATTTATCACATCTAAATTTGTGCTTGTTAATGTAAAAAATATAAATTAGTTTTTCTAACTAGACAATGTTGAGCATTACAATTCTTTATTAAATCTCTTATATAAATTACAAATTTAATCTTGTTAATAAATAATATTGAATTTAATTTAGGTACAAGAAATGAAGATATATCACATTAAAGGCGTATTTTGTTCCATGTGTTATAAAAGTGAATTAAATTATGTTAATGAACTTGGCGAAGAAAATAAGAGGCTAACTAAATCAATTTCAAATACGGTGAGTGAAAAAATTAAAGAAATTCAGTAACTTTTATATTTTTATTATTTATTTTATTTTTAGGAAAGAGAAATAAAAAATTCTTGTCCAGATACTGCCAACATCTCAAAATTTCACATAACGTCCCTCAAAGAAAATCAGGAAGCGGAGTCTCCTATGCACATAGAAGTTGATCAACAGGAAGAAACTGATAACTCTTCAAAAGCGAATACAGTAAAACAATCTAAATCTATCAATAGCCATGATCTTACCAAAGAAGAAGAACAACAACAACAACAAGGGGCTAAAAGAATGAAAATATTTGAATGTAGTACACATGTTCAGTATGTATATTATATTATAATACTATTTTAAAGATATTATTAGTAGTTTCTTTTCAGATTACAGAAGCCAACAACTCATTTAAATAAAAAAAAACTGGGAAACCATATTGTTACTCAAACTGCAGTTGCCAAAATAGTACCTCCGGTAAGATTAAGAAAAAAATAGCATATGCTATTGATTTAATATGTAATTGATGAATATTTTTGTAGTTCATGTATATTTGTATTTTATTTGATTTTACCACATTCTGCTATAAACACAAATAAGCCTACTTATTATGTACCTATAATATAACTAAATAAAAAATAAATATGAAAGCTAATCTTAATAGTATATTATAATAAATATAATAATATTATGTTCAAACTTAGTTTCACTACACACAACTTCTATTATAATTATCTATTGTGTCATTGAATCATATTATACTGCAATAACAGTATCAAAGATAAATTATTTAGCTGAGAATTGAATACTTTGATAATATGTAATTTAAAAGATTTATATATCCTCTTTTAAACAATCTTGTGATGGAAGTATTGATAATTAATTGTTATTTTAACTTTTAACTAATATTCATTAATCACAAATTAAGACATTTCTTAATTTGTGCCGTTAATATATAAAATATAAATTAGTGTCTATAACTAGAAGCTGTACTTAATTGTAATTTTTATTAATTCTTCTATATAAATTACAAACCTTGTTAATATTGTATTTGTATTTACCATAGAAGAAGAAATTGTACTTTAACTGCCAAATATGTTCGAAAATTTATGACATGCGAACATTTGATCTTGAACAGCTATATAAAAAAACTAAGATACTATCGACATTTATTTCAAATAAAGTGAGTGAATAATTTAAAGACTTGAAAAACTTTTATATCTTTATTTATCCATTTAAATTTTAGGAAAGTGAAATAAACATGTCATGTCCACATACCTCTAACTTACCAATATTTCACTCCCCCCAACAAAGTCCAGGTGATAATCAACAGGACAAAAAAGGTCTATCTGCTGATAGCAAGCAAGGGGAAGAAATGTATACATTTTCAGAAGCGAATACTGCAGCTGCTAATATATTAAATCCGGTAAGCATAATAAAAAATGTGCTTTTGATAATGATTTAATACGCTATCGATGAATATTTTTGTTGCAATTGTACACCTATTTGTATTGTATTTTATTTTAATATATTCTGTTATAAACACAATTAACCTTACATTAGTATGTAGCTATAAAATAACTATATTAAAAAAAAAATAGGAAAACTAAACTATAGAGTATATTATAATAAACATAATAATATTATGTTCATACTTCATTTCACTACACAATTTACATTACATTATATCTTGTAAAATTGATTTATATGTTACTGCAGTGACAGTATCAAAGACAAGTTATATTAGCTGCAAATGAAATGGTAGCAATATTACGAGGTGTGTTCAAAAAGTACCCGGAATTTTTTATTTTAATGGGTCTGGAGAGTCCGATTGTCAACATTTTTTTTTTATTGTGTTGGTATACATGCCCCTAAAGTATGATAACATTTTCAGCTATAATCACTGTTGACTTTGTCTGTGGTAGTCGCTAAGGTACGACGTGTGTTTATGAGCTCGGCGATTTTTGCTTGTTTAAACAATGGAAGAATTGAAGAGTCAAAGAATTTGCATTAAATTTTGCGTAAAAAATGAAATAAAATGTAACAAAGTATGTGAAATGTTACAAAAAGCCTATGGTGAGTCTGCTATGAAAAAAACAAGTGTTTACGAGTGGTATAAGCGTTTCCAAGATGGCCGCGAAAAAAGCACGTCAAGTTCGATCAAATGTCAAGGTTATGCTTACGGTTTTCTTCGATTTTAATGGCATAGTACATCAAGAGTTCTTACCACAAGGTCGTACGGTTAATAAGGAGTATTACCTTGAAGTTATGCGACGTTTGCGTGAAGCAATCCGAAAAAAACGCCCCGATTTATGGAAAAACAATTCATGGCTTTTGCACCACGATAACGCACCTGCTCATTCGTCGTTGCTTGTTCGTAATTTTTTGGCCAAAAACAATACCGTAGTCATGCCCCAACCTCCATATTCACCAGATATGGCTCCGTGTGATTTTTTCCTGTTCCCAAAGTTGAAAAGACCCATGAAAGGACGGCGTTTTTCCTCGATTGAAGAAATAAAAGCCGAATCGCTGAGAGTGCTCAAGGACATGCCAAAAAGTGAATATCAAGAGTGCTTCGAAGATTGGAAAAAACGCTGGCATAAGTGTATTATATCTGGGGGGGACTATTTTGAAGGGGACCACATTGATGTAGACGAATAAATAAATATTTTTTTGAAAAAACGGAAATTCCGGGTACTTTTTGAACACACCTCGTATTTTTTATTTTTATTAAATCAAATAACATAGTTAATTACATATAACATATTTAAATTTAAACAATTTAAATATCTCCTTTAAGCAAGCTTGTGATGGATGTATAGATTATTTATTGTTTTCTAACTGTATAAATATCTATTCACAGATTAAGACGTATCTAAATTTGTGCTGTTAATGTAAAAAATATAAATTATAGTCCGGGTCACGAAAACTGGCGGCTGATTTTAACGCTCCTAGTGGTGTGTTTTCGGTATGGCTATAGTAGTTTAGATAGCCCTACCAAAAATACACCACTGGGGGCGCTAAAATCAGCTGCCAGTTTTCGTGACCCGGACTATAGTTTTTTTAACTAGAGAATGTTGAGTATTACAATTCTTTATTAAATCTCCTATATAAAAAAAATCTTGTTAATGAATAATATTGAATTTAATTTAGGGACCAGAAATTAAGAAACCTGTTATTAAGGGCCTAGTATGTTCCAAATGTTATGACGGCTGATCAATTTACCTTAAAGAACTTAACAAAGAAAATAAGAGGCTAACAACATAAATTTCAATGAGAGTAAGTGAAAAATTTAATGACTTTACAAACTTTACAAACTTTTATATCTTTTTTGTCTATTTTATTTTTAGGAAAGAGAAATAAAATAATTCTTGTCTGTATATTGCCCACATCTCAAGACTTCAACTAATGTCCCAAAAAAGTTTTTAATTTATATAATTTATTTAATAATAAATTCCCTATTTATTTTTATGAAAGTTTTACAATAAGGAAAAGAACTCAATCAGTGTCAACCACTTAAAAATATTTAGTTTGATTTTATCTAAACTATTCCATAACAATTAATATAGTAACATTTAAATCAAATTTTTAAGTTGTAATAACATTTAAAAAGGTTTCTTAGTATGATTAAGTGATGTTTAATTTGTTTAATTTTATTTTGTTTATTCTTATATAATTATATAATTATATATTATATTAATTCTAAATATTGAAGTTGATATTAAAGACTAATATTAAATTGATGATTATGATTAAAATTAGTCCTATTATTTGTAAAACAAGTTTTACCAATTAGTTATCTAAAAGAAATTACAGTTCATTGGCATCAAGTATGCATAAATCCTATTCATAGTTTTAATAATTTTAGCATAATAAATATTAATTGTCACATTAAATCAAATTGACAAAATGGAATATAGATAAGGGGAACTCAGCAGACGTATTTTTCATGCGTTTTAGACCAATAAGCGGTAGTAAATTACAAATACTTCGGAATGTCCGATTTGAATTTTTTATACATGTATGAACTCTGACAAAATATCGTAAGTTATTTAGGAAGTTGACTTTCAATTTTAAATTTTAAAGGATTAAGATAACGATTTTTTTTTCAAAAATCTCATGAAATAATTGCATTACATTTGTATTTATTTTGGGAACATCTAATTTTAAATCAAAAAAGTTATTCCTAAAGAGCATAGTCTAGAAGTTTATAAATTCAACCATATTTTCAAAATTACAATCGGACTTCAGGAAGTATGTTTAATTTACTACCGCTTTTAGTAGTTTATATAGCATTGCAAACATGAATATATTTCATTTTTCGTAAAGTATTGACATGTGCCTGCACGTGCAATAGTTTATTTCGGCGGCGCGGCTGCCGACGGGCCGTGATAGATTCTCGGAAAGTCGGAAAAAATTAGCCGATAAGGATTATTGGATAGGTATAGAACATTACTAATGGGTGACAAAAATAATAGTCAGTAATAATAATTATATTTTTCCAAATTTAATACAACAAACATATATTTAAATTTTAAGGAAATATAAAGTATAAAAATACCTTTTTTCTTTGGTTACATGGTTTTAGAATTAATTGATTTAGTATATGGACGTGAGTTTCCTTTTCCTATCGGGGATGGTTTGTAATACTACTTTTTTAAATGGTTTTATTTGTATAAAAAAGTTAAGTAATATAATAGTTAATAACTATGAAATAACAAAGTGATTCTCTTGTAGTCTTGTGTAGTATAATGTAATTGTACATTTTTGCGAATTGCAGCGAAAGCCGAGTAGTGAGTAGGTAATATAATAGTAAAAAATAACGCACGCAATTGAACTATATATATTGTCATTTTTATAGCATTTAAATTATACCTAGTTCTGGGAATTCGTAATACTATCAACCGATAGTCCAAGGCACTCGATAATGGATTACCCACACTAATGTTCATTTACTACTCACACATAGACATAGCCCAAATGTTCTTGTTATGTGAATTGCCTAAATATTACTCCTTAAAACATGATACGCTGGAGCCCCCTTAAAATAGTTCAAAAAAATGTATAAAAATATATAAAAATGTACTGTGTCAAGTGGGTCATTAGAAGAGATGGTGTTAAATTTGAATTCAATGATATTAATAATATTGTATAAGAAAAAAAATTCTGAGCAAAGACTGAGTCAGTCAGCCAACGATATTACTGAGTATATTTTATGATATTATTGTGAATAAAGTAATTTATATGTAAATTATTTGTCGGTGGTTTTTCCCTTGGCATTCTAATAGAATTATTCTAACCATTGAGAAAATCTAAAAAAGACCTCTGAAGTACCATCTTGATCCTATTATCTAAATGATAAGATACTAATATGTTGAATTGACGCAGTCCTTCTGATATAAAATTTGTAAACAGGATAGAAAAAAATAAACAATATTGTAAAACCACTAGCTTCTTTAGATCTGCTGAGAGTCCAGTATAAAAAATTTTAATTAAAAATTAAAACCATGATTAAATTACATGATTAAAAAATTGCATTTCCCCTTAGTCAGCTTGACTAGACAAACGAAATTGGTCTATGATAAAGCAATTAATTTATTATGAATTCCAAAATTCTAATATAGAATTACTTATTCGTCTTAAAACAACAAATGATATAACAAATAATTGGTAAACAAGAGAACGTGAAAAAGTTTATTTAATATACGACCATTAGATATTATTAAAATAAAGTAATTAAAAATCTTAAAAACCTTAATGAGAATTTTAATAGGTAAGTGGATGACGCTCTGCTGTACAGTAGGTTACAGGTGGGTCATTGTAATGGATGGTGTTTAATTTGAATTCAATGATAGTAATAATATTGTTTAAGAAAAGAAATTCTGAGCTAAGACAGTCAGTCAGCCAACGATATTACTAAGTATATTTGATGATATTATTGTGAATAAAGTAATTTATATGTAAACTATTTACATGGAACCTTGTTTTAAATTGTCAATCCTTAGATATAAAAGTTGAACCTTTTACTTGATGGTGTATAGAAAATTAAAATATAGTTATAGACCCAGTGAAATTTTCATGTACCTATCTACAGTTATTCGTTGTTGAATTACAACAAAATAAGAAAATCGCTACATGAGAAATCGAGTGAATTGCCACGTAAAAATAAAACGTTAAGCACTCATAAAAATTTAATTTGACTTTCTCGTAGACACTTTTTTTTGTAATGGTTGACAAACTTATAAGGAATCTTGTATTACATTTTTAAATCTTAGATTTATAAAGAAAACTTTTTATGAATTTCTAGCTCAAAATAAATTGCACATTATCTAGACTTTTACGTATTTTGTCAAATTATGTCTTAAGCGTTTTTATGATTGTATCTTGTTATTATAATTAACTTATGAATACAGATATTTATAATGTTATACTGTAGGTGGCCATCTAATAAATTAATATGTTGTTATTTTATATTAATTTAAAATGTTGCTAATAATATTATGATACAGTAAACAGTAAGATATATTGTCAGCGTATTATAAAATAATATAGGTTCTATTGGGTGAATATTCTATTACACCTGTAGGTGTAAAACATTAAAATGAAAGGAAGTTTAATTTTTTCTGAATGTTTTTCTTTTTTGATTTGTGACTTTATAGTAATGGAGGCCACATTATTGAATCATAAATAAAATGTACCATTTTGTTTTTAATCAAAAACAACAGATTTAAAAATTAATTTTTATCAAACCTTTGTTTTTTACCATTGTTACAATATGTAATAGGTTTTCTAACATAGAACCTCTATATTATCATGTTTTATGCTAAACGTTTATACAATTTACAGTTCACCAAACTATTACATGTTGTTCACTTTAAAAATATTATAAATATTTATTTTCATGTTTTTGAATTTTAGTTATGTACAAATAAATTTAAATAAACCCCAAATAAACTTGATCTTATATCTATCTAAATAATGCCGAAATATAATATGTTTAAATTATTCTTGATGAGTCATTACTCATCAGTAAGGCTCGGACGTTATTGCACTAAAAATGTTAAAAAATTGATTGCATTATTGCTAAGAAAAAAAAACCCAAAATTGCACATAAAAATTGCAATAAAAAAATTGTTTTTTTTCCCCAAAAATATCAAAATAAAATACTAAAAATTATTTTATGAAATGAATTAGAAAATACATACACACGTAAACTAAATACTTCAGTATTTGCTTCAACTACTTGTCAACAACTCGGGTGGCTAAGTAAATTTCACTGAATAGTGGTAAAGTGTATAACTATTAACAATTCACAAATTTCTATACTAACGTAGTACGCTTATAGTAGTTATAGGAAGCAGATAACATAGATAGGATATAATATATGGCAGATAATATCTACAATAATCATAATATTATTATTATTATCTCGTGTGATATTGTTATACCACAGAATAATAGTAATAGTAAAGCTCTAATAGTCTCTAATAGAGCCCTAGTAATAGTACAGCTGGTGGGGATTTTATCGACTCCGCCGTTTTAATATCAATTCCGCCGGATTTTTGTTTATATTGATTCCGCTGACTATCGATTCCGCCAGTTATTTATTTATGTTTATTCATCCGACTGTTTATTAAACAATAACCAAAGTATCATATTATACAGAATTGTTTTTAATTAAGGGGCCTCACTACCACGTCTTTTTTGTGTCAAAAACTACTGTTTCTAATTCCAACGATACGTGTCGACAATTATAACGATTTTCATTCTGAAAAAATATTCTGATTGTCCGTAATATATACAAGGGAACAATCGAGCCACATTTCTAATTTTTGTAAATTAAAATGCAATAAAAATTGAAAAAAATTCTAAAAAAGTACAGAATTTCCAACTTAAATATTTAATTAACTAAATACAATTTTAAAAATGTGCTTCGATCGATCCCTAGTGGCTAGTACACGCTGTGGAAAATAAGAATATTTTGTCAGAATGAAAATCGAGGTAATCGTTAAGACGTAATGTTGGAATTAGAATCGTATGTTTGAGTGAAAAATAAACATTTTTTTATGATCACAATAATATATATTGACATGTGTGTGCGAGTGCGTGCGAGAGCTCTTCACACCGCTACAATTGACCCGCATGGACGCCACACACACTAATAATCATTTAAGACTAACACAATATAGATCTCGGGTGGCGACGACGAGATTAGA